GCTTTTTTTATATAAAGTGTCCTTGAGTTATGTGAAAGCCACTTAAAATCAAATTCAATGTTAGTAGTATAATAGTTTCAATCAACAGAAAAGCTTTAATTGTATCATGTTGCCCATTTATCATTAGTAAACTTCATCCAAGGAAATATTTACCTTTTAATTTATTCCCCTTTTACTGTGGGACACTGGACATGTACGTGTGAACATGGTTTTTAGAAAATGTTAGGAAGGGGTCAGTCCAACTCTGGGGGAGTATTCATTTCCATCATTCCATCATAGCCAAACCCTAACCTGGATTTAAAATATACTGCAGGTATGATCACTCCACAATAAACCAACGACATGCCACCCATTAGTCTAAAACAGCAGTGCGTCCTGGGAATTTTTGTTGGCTTAACATACTTCAGCATGGTTCAGAAATGGTTCGGTCAGGTTATGTTAACGACGTTAAGAGGATTTAAAAACAAAATGTTCAAATTGTTAGAATTTACTTACATTAACTTTACTTTTCACATAGATGGCAACAAGTTGCCATGAAAAGAACTAATCAAACTAAATCACTGGTACCCAGTTTACCAAATGTGAAATTTAACATGACAGATTTGTCACACCCATTCCTGAAAGGTTTAGCAGAAGCTTTACTGTTTACAAAGTCTGGATTATTCTTTCAGAGCCAGTCACAATAAGCACCTGTCCTGTGGAGCTGCTGAGCTACATGCCAGCACAGTACAATGTGCACTCCCGCCGTTTGTGTGCGGTGTGCAAGTGTGCACATGTGTGCTGAAAAAGTTTAACGCCAGTCTCGTCTCAGCGTTTGGATTTTTGAAATGCACCGACATGAAGGAATTCACTGATCCACATCAGGCCGTGACAACTCCACAGAACAACATCTCGAGTTTTCAAATCCCAATCAGGAATGCAGGGGCGCATTCATGGCAAACAAAAACAGTGATTACAGAGGGTAACAGGATCAGCTTTAATCAGTATGTCCTGAGAAAATGCCAAGGAGTTTTCAACCACTGTCAGGTCACTCAAATTTCCCTATTAATTATGTGCTGTACCGCAACAGTCGGCCTCTCCACCGTGAGTGACCTTCTCTGCTTTCATATGTCAGTACAGAATGATCACAAACAGAGCGACAGTGTGGAGAATCAAGCTTTCAGTGATGTGTCTGCCCTCTCATTTCCCTGACAAGGAACAATGGCAACTTCATAAATAATGGCACTCACACAGAGCGAGTTTCTTCCTTGCAAAGAGGAGAAAAATAGGGGGGAATATAGCCACTATCTAAAGACATGTTCTATCATGTGTTAACAGCTGTTTTCTGTAGCCAAATCCTTTGGTGCTTCCCTGTTGGAGTTATTCAGAGCTTGTAAAGATTTGCTCATATGGATAAAGACTGGGCTGCGCACTGAGAGTGATGATCAGGCATCCCTGGCTTGTGTCTGATGGAAATCTCTATGAAACTGTGAAACTCATGTGACAGCACCCTTTTGTTTTCCTCACAGTGAGAGTCAGGGAGGGATGGAGATCATCTGTGTTAGTGCTGCCCTCTGCTGATCAGAAGCCGGTTTTCACAGTCAGTACCTGCACCTCTGGGTGATTCTTCCTTCTATCCAGCCATTATCTATACCCCTTATTCATGAATAGGGTCACGAGGAGCTGGAGCCAATCCCAGCTGACGTTTGGACAAGAGGCGGGGTACACCCTGGAAAGGTCGGCAGTCTATCACAGGGCTGATACGTAGCAAACAACCACACTCACTCCTAGGGCCAATTTAGAGTCACCATACAAGAAAAAGCTTATCTGGGTTTTAGAAATGTTTTACAAAGATTAAAACTCCATGGCTTAAAAAGAGTGATATCTGACTCTGTTTGCAGTTTCAGGTGTGCTGTCACTAGTTTTACAGATGTCTCTTTTACTACTGTGGTCTATGAAGAAAATACTTTTTGGGCAGCATGAGGATTTTTCAGTGCACTACTACGAGTGGCCACTGGGCAAAACTGGCCAAAGGCTGAGACTTGGCGCCGAGGACCAAAAGCAAACTTCAAAAAGTAAAATTAACAAAGTAACCTACTATACTGTGACCACTATTTTATCCCTTTTTTCACACAAAATATCTAAGTTATATTAAAACACACTGCATTCACCACAAAAAAAAACATTTCAGACCTTCAAAATCTCAATTTATTAATTTAATTTTATCAATTGATGCCATTTTGCTTTTCTTTTGACTCTATTTACTGTGGTCAAAGATGTCACAGTGCTCAATTTTTAAATTGTTGCCTTTTTGCATAGTTTTGGGGTTTAATAGTTGTAACTTATGACAACATGAGCTGTAATGACCAGAGGAAAAAAAAAATTATAGTCATGTTAAAGCTCCAACAGCCATGTTATTAATACTGATTATTCCTGGGGGGACTGTCAGAAGCTTGCCACCGGTACCATCATGTTTTTTAAAATATTAAACAGATGACAAAGCAGCAGGAACCTAATGTTGAAGATTATATTTAATAATGTATTTCTACTTAAGGCAAATTTTTGAGGAGAAGTTATCATTCAAGCTATGATTAGTTTCATGATGCATGTTGTTTGTTTCTATCAAAGTAGTACACTACCAGATTTCTGAAGGAGTTTGAGGACTTTGTATACAGGTCATTAATGTTAGATCATGCCAAAGAGGTGGAGTGATCATTTTAAAAATGTTTAATGCAGTAAATCCAACTTAATGATTTACTTTTATGACTTTACCAGAAGATGTTATATTTAAGTTAGCGCAGCTCGAGTTATATAGTATATTGAGCGTTATGTTTGTTCTCATAAAAGCAAAATTGACCTATTGGGTTTATGAACAGAGTTTGGTCAATCAGCAAGAGACAAGGAGGTTATAAAGTGAAACAACATGCACAGTCCTTGGTGCTGAGGAGAAGGATCCTGAACAACATCTAACCCTGTCCATATTCTACCAGTAATAAATAGTCTGCAGAAACAGGCTTCAGTTTCACTTTAGTAGTTTTCACTACACATTTATTTAAGTTACAATTTTTGTGAATTAAGATTTAACACACAAAATGCAAAAAGCAAGCACTTGGAGACAGTGGGGAGGAAAAACTCCCTTTACCAGAAGAAACCTCCTACAGACCCTAGCTGTCTTTGGGCAGCTGTACTGCCTCTACCGGTTGGGGTGAGTGGATAGTTTTCACAGTCATCATGATCATGAAAAATGAGGAAAACATGCCCAAAGTGAGTGTCTCAGAGCTTAGTTATACAGTGAGCTGTCTGTCTCTGCCAGGCTTCCCCCCTCCCAATAACTAAAACACACTCCAGGCTGGTATTGCAGCTACTGTGCAATAGAGCTCTGACAACAATCCCATCTACCTATGAAACTGCTAAACGTATCCCTACATCAGTGATAATACTTTGCAGGGGTGGGATAAGTTCCCCTGCTGGGAGGCCTTCCATGTCCTCAAAATCTAATACGAACACAAAACGCAAAGCTTTCCCTCCCCAGGCCTATCTGAAGTACAAGTCTCCCCCTTGAAGCTTGGCAGTGAGACAACTCAGAGTAAAATAAAGTTTGGGTGGTGATGATTTTGAAAACAGCACAACCACACTTGTCAACATGGGCTTACAACATAAAGCACAATTTCACACATATGGAGAATCTCTCATTAATCCAACGACTAAACCTGCCCAGGAACTTCCACCATTTAATGATGGAAAGGTGACCCAGCCTTGTGCAACTTTGTGGTAACGTTCCAAAATTCAAAATAAGGCTCCAAACAAAGTCAAGAAACACTGTGATAACTTTAAAAAACTAAACTAAGCTAAACAAAAACCCAAATCCATCAACCCCAGAGGAATGGTTACGGTTCAGTAGCTGCAGTCATCTCATCCAAAGGTGGAGGTGGACTCAGGTAAAGCTGACTGAGCTTCTGCTGAAACAGTCTCTTCAAGAACTCATCAAGTCATTCTCAACTCTCAGGACCAAAGAGGTTGGTGTGGACATCTGTAGCAGCCTCCTCATGGTCCTGTTTGTGTCAACAGGTTGTTTTCTCCAGCTTCAGTTTCCTAAGGTTGGGCATCAGAGTCAAAAAACAAACTCACCAAATCTTAAGTACAATAAAGACAATAAAGATAATAAAGATTTAATGAAGTGGACTGGGTTCAGGCTCTTTACCTGCTGCTGGATTAAAAGGGTGGCTCTGCTCTTTATTTACCCGTTGCCACGATGAATCTCAGTATCAAAGCTCCACTGATGATGGCTTTTTATTGTCATCACACACAAGCTTAACTCTGAGGTAATTAAACTAACTGATCAGAACTGAAGACTAAGAGTTTCCCATCTTATGGTTGCGGGTAGTTCAGCGTTAACTCCAGAGTTTACTGAGTCACCTGTCTGGAAACACACCCCCATTCCCCCGCAGCCTGAGTGTGGGAGAGCACTGGGAACACTGGAAAGGATTTCAAATCAATCTGAACACAACAAGTTTTAAATATTCTTCAGTAAGGCTGCACAATAATTAGTTTTAATAAGAATAAGACAAACTGTATTCTTTATATGTATATATAAAGCCACAAAAGTGAAAGAAGAATTAGATTTAGAAAACTGATTTCTTCACTTGGATGCTTTTATTATAAAACCAAATAAACAAAAACAGGACAGCCTCCTCTGTCTCCTCTTGTCTCCTGGACTGACTGTTTTGAACAAGTCCTGTGAAATGCTTTTCTTTACAGTGCTGATTCCCTTCACTATTAATGTAGGTTCTAATTTGATTTATAATTAGTACCAAAATGTACTCCAGGAAATTACTTTGGAATAAACTGGAATTTACAGACCTGTATAATAAAGCTTTACCATAACAATAAAGGTGCAAGCAGAGACTTTATCAGGTCTGAGTACAAAGTTTATTTACAAGAAAAATACAAAATATAGGCAATTTTAATAATATGTACACTATACATTCTACACAGTTGTTCATTCCCTGCACAGCCGCTGATTGCAGTTAGTTTCCACTAGGTGGATCTGCTGTTCTCAGATTGTCGGTCTCCGCTCCACTTCATCAAAACCAAGGTCTCCACACGGACACAGAAGCGTTTGGTGATCCATCTCTCAGCACAGGGTGTGAAGGGGTTCTCGCTGTGGTGAGTGGAGGGGAGTAGAAGGCAGATGTGCCAGAGTGAGAGGCTGTGGGTGAGAAACTACAGAAGGAGGTGTTGGAAGATGGAGGTGACAGGCTGGGGGGGAAGGAGAAGTGACAGGCAAATGATGGGAAAGGAGAAGAGACGGCATATGTGGGGAGAGGGGACGAGAACCAGGGGGAAGGAGGAGGGGAGAGATACTCATGGCACGATGTGGAGCAAGACAGAGGCTGAAATGAAGAATGTGATGGAAACAGCAACGTGGGAAACTCTTCTTTTCTCTCAGATGTGCAAATTGCATCCACAGATGCTGTGTCAGTTTCGGGCACTTTCCGGGTGAAGTCTGGTTTCTGCTGCTGGGTCTCTGTGTGACGGTTCAGCCCCTCAGTCAGGCTTGTTCTCTGTGCCGGTGATATTTTGTGCATGTAACTGCCCAGCTGGGCCATACACTGCTGAAAACCTGCACTCTCCATGGTGAAAAGAGAACGAGCAGTGGACTCTGAGTGATGCAGGTTTAGAATCGGAGGCTGAGTCTTCATCAGACTATTAGTGGAATCTACAACATGTAAAAAGATCAGGGCAAGAAGTAAAACAGGAGGGTAAGACTCAAACACTGATCTTATTCAAACATTTTAAGAAAGTCATGAACTCGTTTATTTGACCAACCATGACTCAAGTTCTTCCCATTTGTCCACTTTCGAAGATATTCCACAGTCAAGTCCAAAATCTCAGCTTTCTCTATTTTGGGATTCTGCAGTCGCTGTGAGTGAAACATGGCAGAAATACATTTCATCATTTTAAGATCATAGACTGGGCAAATGTGTGTAATTATTTTTTGCCTTCACTCACTGGATCAGACATGTGATTCAACAGCAAACCTCTCAGTTCAGCAAGACTTTGATTTATTCGATCTCTTCTCTTCTTTTCAACAACCGGTTTCAGAATCTAGAAAAAGATCAACAGCATAATGTGATTATGATAAAGTTGTTGTCACTCGTCAGCTCATTTGTGATGGATTTAATCAGCGTACTATAAAGGAGAAGTGAATGCATTTATTTTGAATTAATAAATAATTTATACATTCTTTATAGCTCAGTTATAATGCATTTCCAGGTTGTGAAAAAAGTCAATAAAAAGGATTGTGCCTTTCTCACTTTATAATAACCTATTAAGTACACAGATTGTTATAATGAAGTGTGTGGTTTTATCTTGTTTTAGCTCTATTCTAAAAGTCAGAGGTCAAATGATCCACTGATGACAAAAAAAGCTAAAAAGACAAACAAGTGTCATGCTAGAGGAAGATAAACACCAGCCAGAAATGGGTTTTCCTCTGCCTAAATGGCAAACCCAGTGGTTTACCCTTATTAATTAACTATTTCTTAATATTAATAAAAACATTATGGCAACTCAAAATGTTACTATAATGCTATGAAATGTGCCCCCAAAATACAGAAAAAAATAAATCAATACTTCCTACCCTTTTCCTGCTCTTGCCATCATCCAGAACCTGACTTCGTGGTTTCCTGGCCATGTTGCAGTGTTCGGTCCAGATGTTTCACGATAACAGTCTGAGCAGCAACAGTTTAAAAACCGGCCTCCGGTGGCATGAGGGCCCTTATAAGTGAACCTCAGGCCGCCTCTGATTGGCTGCCAGGTGTCACTGACGTCACTTAATCGAGAATTGTTTTATTATGGGCCTTGTTTAACTCGAAACTAGTTTTAAATCAATCGGACACCACTGAAAATAAAAGACAACAATATTACACCGTTGCCAAGTTTTAAAAGCAACAAAAGTGCAAGAAGTTTTTTGTTTGTCATTTCTAAAATGCTAAATTACACTTGAAATGTTTAGTAAAATCAAATATTGTTTCATTTTGTAGTAATAGGCTATATATCGTTAATCGGCTATAAAGTTGGTGAAGTGACATTCATTTTGTGTTAACAGCGGTCAGATTCTTAAATCACACAGCACTTATCCCTAATTTCATTAGTAAATGTTGCATTCCCCATTAAAATGCACCCATGAAGTGAGACTCTGGGAAACATCTTTTTCTCGTGGGAACAGAAGTGAAGTGAGAAAGTGAGCAGCTATGAGGACTTTTTATGATGTGTGAGAGACATGAGCACTTTGCATTAAGTGATGAAGAATACCAAACGACGAAGCGGTGCCAGACACTCCGATGTGGACAAGCGGAGTTAGGCATATGAGCAAAACAACAACATCTTTCATTGATCATTTTTTTTATTTGAGAGTTAAACCTCTGCATGGGAATAACGGGCAAAGAAGAGCACAGGTCACATTTGTCTGCTGATGTGGTGGAGTGTGAGGCTGGTGATGACACCCGAGTGCTAAGTGTGTGCCTGCTTCAGGTCAGCTCGACACCCGATGTTTGGACTTCACACACGCTCTCTTTCAAAGTCAGACCAGTTGCTGACTTCACTACAAGTCAGGTCCTGTCAGGTCCACCGTCTGACAGGAACTCCTTTGTCAGCGAGGCTGATACACCCCAGGAGTCACGATATTAGAAGTAAACGGTCCATTTCTCAGGCACCAAAGGGCACGTTTTAAACTAATTAGTTTCCATCACAGGCTCAGGCGCACACATTATAGGGATTATTTATAGGGCGTGTCCACGTGACTTAAATCCTACACACATGTTCTCACAGGGATGGGGGGTGGGGTCTTACTATACAAACAGTAATTCCATTAGGTTTCTATATGTCTCAAACAGTTTCTCCCCCCCTGCTATAACTCCATCATACTCAACCTGGGCCTATATGCAGTGAGTTTCCATGAGTTGCCCCCTGCCATTGTCGCCGGGAGCGACCCCGGAGCCCGCACTAATCAGCCTCTCTTTGAGTTTAAACGGAAGTATTATTGCCTTTGTAAAGCCACTTAATCTCTACTGGATCCCCTTGATCCGATCATCCCAGTGTTATCTCCACACTTTAGCCTATTATGGGGATCAGGGTGAGTATAAATGCAGTGCTGAGAAAGCTAACCCAAAACTCATAGCCCACTCATTCCAAGTCCACCTGAAATCACTGTAGCTACATCTTAGACCTGGAAATCCTAATTCAAGTCAAAGGTCTTGCTGCAGCCATTGTGTCCTAAACAACAGGCACTAAAGACAAACACACAGCACAAGCCTCCAGGTGTGAATCGGCCGATTTGGCACAAGGGGTGGACCTTGTGTGTGTGTGTGTGTGTGTGAAAAAGTGCTGGTGTGTGTGTGTGTGTGTGTGTGTGTGTGTGTGTGTGTGTGTGTGAATTTAGATTCTAAAAATGCTGGGTTGAAAACAATGACTGGCCTTTAACTGTTGAATGTATTGTGGTAAAACTCCTACTTTATAGCAGTTCCTTAAATTTAAAACCTCCATAAAGTGTAACTGAAGTACAAATAAAATTAGGTTGGTTTGTGTAATTTTATGGCCATAAAATGATTTTACAATGCCTTTACCTCCCTTGCATTAGGATGTTTAGATGTTTACAATATTTCAAAATGTGTTCACACTAACACAAAAGACACTGCTGTTTCTTCAGGAAAGATTTTTTTAAATGAGTTGATTGAGAAACTGAATTGTGAGCCTTAAGACCACATGCTTTCTTCATTTCTACCTATATGAGAGTGGAATTACATTTAAAACTACATTATTGTAGTCTGCAATACGTCAAGTTATATAGCCTATATATTTACAGAGGAACGAGCACTGCGCGTCAAGGTCGTGTGCCCCTGAATGACTGAGAGGCGTGGAGCAGGGGCGTGGCTGCCTGCAGCCAGGACCCAAACAGGTAGGCTATGGTTTCCAGTTTAGTTCAGTAGACACGTCGAGTCAGCGTCACTATGAAGGTGTTATCTTCACCAGAGTCCACCAGACAGAGGACCATGAGGAGGGTAGGTGCAGCGTTCTGATTCTTTCTCCGAATTTCTGAGGACAACAAATGCTGCTTTGTTATCATTCTAATGTTTTTCCATCTTAATCCTAAGGTGTCTAAACCTCTCATGGAGAAACGCAGAAGAGAGCGGATCAACCACAGTCTGGAGACATTACGACTTTTAATGCTGGAGAACACCCACAATGAGGTAGGCCCACGTCTGCGCGCCATTTTAGATAGATTACGATTAAATGACTATGTATTTGGCAATGTCTGTCAGGGTATTTATCTAGTGGTTTGTGTTCTCAATGTAGAAACTGAAGAATCCAAAGGTGGAGAAGGCAGAGATTCTGGAGAGCGTAGTCCAGTTCCTGAAGACACAGAATGAACAGGAGAAAGGCCACCGGGGCACAAAGAGTGGCCTCCCCATGGAGCAAGGACCAACATGCGCCCACCAGAACAGCTACAATGACGGCATGAGGTCCTGCCTGCTGAGGGTCAGCCACTTCATAGCCAGCAAGAGCCAGGAGCTGGAGCAAGCCCAGGAGCCCCAGACCTACCCGTCCTCTCCCGGGCATGTCCACAGTGCGCTGTTACCCCCAGCCTGGAGACACGGCTGCGCTGTCTCCTCAGCAAGTGCCGCACCATCACGGCGTCCCCCGGTCGTACCTCGCCCAGAGGACCGACCTCCACTCTGGTACCACGGAGCTGCTCTCCCCCACAGCAGCCAGCATCACCGATCCTGTGTGGAGGCCCTGGCCCCAGTAGCAGACACGGGGACACAGATTTCATTTTAGACATATGCTGTAGAAGCTAAGGGAATGTGTAAATATGTATTTTATTGTACACAATGTATTCTTTGTATAGCGAAGATATTTTCTGACAACTCCCACAGTGATTCTCCAATTTAATAAGATTTTACTTTGAGTTCACTTGTTTTGCAAAGACTGGACATTTTAAAGGCGCAAATGTCTTTTTTACATTTACTTCCATGTGTTTGTGTATTGTTGAAATGCCTGCCTGCCTATTGGCTTTTTTGTTTTGTTTTACTTTTACTTCTTATCAGGGGTACTAGTCTATTTCCCCTCTACCCAGTTTGTATTTGAGACATGATACTAGGATTCATATTGAGATTGTGCTTGCTGGATTCTCTGTTCACGTTTGAAATAAAGGTGCAGTTCCCTGATCATTCCAGATGAAGTGGCCCATTTGCGGTGTGAATAACTCTTTGCAGCAGCACTTAGGAATAAAAGAGGGACATCTACAGGACAGTTAACACGTACTTTAGCCAGACTGGACAGCGGTTATGGCACATTTTCTCTATTCAAATGTTGATGTTAGGGGACCTGTTGCTTCTATGGTCTTTTTCAAATGTAGAAAAGCAAGAGACAGCGGCCATTCACACACTGTCCAGATTCCAGGAGCGGGATCATCTAATCTACACACTTTAACCTTTAGAGACAGACAGAACTGTTTCCTTTGACGCAAACTGTGTGAAAGCACTCCAGACCCAACATAGGCCGTATCCTGCTCAAACTTAGATCTCATTTCAGTTTACTTGAGCTGCAACTATTCTGATGATCATTTGTCAATAAAAATGAGAAATGGCACCATCGTTGAACAAGGTAACGACATTATGATGGGATTGTTTCACTTTTCACGGATACTTTATAAAGCACATGTTAATCGACTAGTTGTTACAATTAAGTATAAATGAATAAACTGTGCAACCCAAACAACTGAACTGTTTGGCACGCAGCGTTTGACCATTTCCGTTGTGATACATGTGATGGGCTACAGACAGAAGCCAACAGTTGTAGATCAACAGTGTAACATCTTGTAAAAGTTGGGCCCCTTTTGGCTGCGCTGTTTTACCAGGTGTTCATTTACCGCTTGTTTATGCAGGAAGAGCCTGAAAGGTCAAAGATGGACTCTGATGGCGAGAGGGGGGAGGTCTGCTGGAACCATTGGCATGTGGCAACAGAACACACCATATAGGACGATGGGCCACACGGACCCAGACTTTTTCGGTGGTATGTTTCACAGGCTATCAGGAGCTGTTTGAGAATTGTTATAGTTTCAGATTCTTGGGTTTAAAGTGGTTTTGTAAACTGGATGAAACTGTGTGTGCTGCACAGTCTGGTTAAGGCGGTAATGGCCACTCCTGTGTGCTTTTCTACATTCGAAAAACTGCACTGAAAACAAAAGACTGATACCGATCAGCATATCAATACACGGTTGAAGTGAATTGCTGTCCATCCTGGGCTATGTGTTAAATGCCCCATCTCCCCTTTCATTTGAACTGTGCGCGCTCTTTAAGTCATCCCAGAGTATCACTTGATTCGTGTTTACAATTAGTTACTAAGGGTTATTTACGTTACTTATATCCTATAATATACTGACATCCAGGGAGCAAAGTGGTTGTATTCATTTAAAAGGTTATGTACTATTATTTATAGTCTAAAGGTTTAATATTTGCCCAAAATGCAGTTGCGTAAGAGGTAAAACTACACAGTTGTTCCTTTTATCCTGAGAGCCTTCGATCGGTCCAGTTAGTGGAGATGCATTCCTTCAAAGCCTGTCGACAACATCCTTTATCAAAAGCGGTGTTATTCCCGCTGGGCTCATCTTTGGACAGAATGCTCTTTTGTGCGCTTTAAGCTTAAACCCCCAGAGAAAAGACCGCAGGAATGAGTAAATCAATTAAAGTTGGAATCAGATTAGAGTTTCATTTGAAGGGCATCAGTCTAAAGGAAGGTTAAACGGGTCCTGTGGCTGAATTTATTGTCATTGTAAATGAGCAAGGACTAGTCGGGTGTATCCACCTACAGAATTCTAGTTTGTGTCCTTGGGACAAAAACACAGTGATCTCAAACTTTAGCTGTAAGAAACGTGCCATGTTGTAGCAGCCTGTAGCCCCAGAAACCCTCCTACTACACATTTCAATCGCACCTGTCTCTGGTCACTGTTGGTTTTTTACCACATCAGCGCGAACACAAGAGACGCAGAGTGTTAAATCATTTAAATCACCGTTTGGCCTCCTCAACAAACCGTTTGCAACATAAGAAGCCCTCAGATGGCGTTGACATTTCTGAAGTAGGCGCCTCCTATCATATTTCTTAAGTACATATAAAGTTAGTCTGGAGGATTTTAGGTAGGACTTTTCTTAGACTTACCAGCGTAAACAAAAAATACCTGTATTTAACCGAACCTCGTAGATCATTCTATGCTATATATTAGAAAGCCTGTAGGTGGTGTATGTTTCCCAGTGGACACGTGTCAGCTACCTTTACAGCCCCAGTCTGGAAAGTATACAAGCCCCAGCACCTTAGGGTGTTAATGGGTTTGCTAGCACCCACGCGCCAGAGGTGCGCACCAGGACTGGTTCGTGTTATTTTCGCACGTGTATGTGGTGTCAGGCATTTACCCCCATTCAGTTCAGGTTACAAATCATTTTCTTTTGTTTATGTGCACGTGCATATATTTATACTCACATATACTCATATGTATATAAACGTAAATGCCGATTATACAAACACTGCTTTAAACCCTAGTTTTTGGGCTATAATAACTTTCAATACCATTTTTGTAACAATTTATTATTGTAATAATTTAATTATTTCAGTTAAAATTATTTCAGTTATTTTTGGCATAATCTACAATGTTGTTTTACTTAAATTTGGTTATTTAAATTAAATGCAGTGTGTTTAATTAATCCATTCAGAACATACAGACCCTATGTGTGTTTTAAAATCATAAAAATTACAACAGGTTATGTTAAGAATTCTGTTGTAGAAATCACTAGGCTATAGCCTAAACATGTGAAGCCTGAGCCCTCCCTAGTTATTACAACAGATGCTCAACAGAAACATACACACAAAGGTGCTGCACGTTTTCGGTGGTTTATTCTCAAAAAATCTAAAGAGAAATTCTGCTCAAATAATTAAAACTAAAGTTATGACCTTTCATGAAAAACATGTTTATTAGTAACATGAGAAAAGTCACAGTTGTATTAATGACAATTAATGACAAGGTACAAGCAGAATTTACTCAGCCTGAAGTTGTACATTTACATTAAATAATGTATAACCTCTACATTTTCTATATCTGTGTGTGTGTTGTATGGAAGTAAATAACAGAGGGTGCACAAACCACATTTTGAGCACTACCCAGTTTGCATTTCAGTACCTGAGAGGGTACAAACACATACTGTATTTGTCAGGACAGATTAACATTTGAGAGCACAACGCTGGCCATGTGAGTGCTCATTTCTGAGCCTGTGCTCCCAGATTTCTCCACTTGGGTTTGTGTGCAAGTTTGTCAGGGCAAAAAGTTTTGAAAGCACAAAAAAACAAGTTGCGTGCGCTCTTCAGTTTGCAAATCGGAATTTGAGAGTACGCAGGCAAAATCACATTTGAGAGCAACTGAGGATCCCTGCTGCCCACTCAAATCATCTGTTATGCTCAGAATTCTGTCTGTCCTTGCTCTCAAATCTGTTTCTGCCTTTACAAATCCATGCCTGTACACTCTCAGATTCTGACTTGCAAAGTGAATAGGGCTTGAAACTTGTTTTGTGTGCTTCCAAAACCTTTGGTGCCAACAGACTTTCACACAAAACCGAGAGGAGAAATCTGAGAGTGCAGACTGAGAAACAATTGCACACACTCAAATCTGATTCTATGCTGACAAATATGAATTTGAAATGCTGAGTTGCAAGCTAAGTAGTGCCCGCGATTTACTTCCACAGGTGTTGCTTCATCATTGGATCAGACTTTGCCAACAGCCAGTCCCTGAGCTCTCTGAAACTCCTGTTGTAAACTCGACAAGACTTCTCGATGCTGTTCAGATTTCTTTTCCATGTCTTTCAGGAGCGTCTCATACCTTTGACTGTAACAGGAAAACAGAAGAAAC